GTGTGTGTGTGTGTGAAGAGGGTGGGGCGTGGTGGGGGTGAGCAGAAATGAAGCCGTAATTCAGGGCTATTGAACCCCCTGCCACTGGCGGCATCGATCGCCAGGCAGCGGTTATGAGATCACACCTGAGCACTGGAGACTGCAGAGGGGAGGGAAGGACGGGGGGGAGCTGTGTGGGCAGGGGTGGGGGGAGACGAGGGAAGGGGGAGACGAAGGAGTAAGGAGCGAGGAGGAGAGAGAGAGAAACAGAAGGTTGTGATATGATCAGCTCCTTACCTGCTGTCTGAGGGCCTGTTAAGGTGTTAACATCAAGCCTCAGAGCCAATTACCTAACCCTGCAAGTACACTACCCACTCACCTCCTCACACTCACAGTGTTGTGACACAGAAGGAGAAGAAGACAGGGCAACTGGACGCTGGCTGTTGTTCTCCCCTCCTCCTGCTCTGTGTTTCCAGGACAACTCCACTCTTCTGACCTCTCAATTATCCCTGATCCCCCCCCCCCTCCCCACTCGACCTTCTACTCTTTGCACCCCAAACATCCATCCGAAACCCCCCCCCCCATTCACCCCACCCCTTCGTACACACTCCCCCTGCGGCTCTGTGGGTTATTATAGTGAAATATGAAGCGATGTGGATTCTAGGCTTCATGAAATTTCCATGAGCATTGATCTGATCTGATGTGGGTGATTGCTAGGTGAATCCCTCCAGTCCAGAGCTGTTGCTCATCTATTCATTTATTTATGGCAGTTATGTTTTACTGGCTTTGATTTGCTCTTCTGGAGAGCGACAGCTAAGGATTATAAATATACCTGAATAGGAGAGTGTGCTTGGAATCCTGGAGGGCAGCAGCGCACCACTCCTCTTTCCAACTTGGAAAGTTGTTTTTTCTTTTTTTTTTCTTCTTCTAGCATTAATTCTTGGTGTAAAATGTGAGATATTGAGCACGGATATAAGGGCATAAAAAAATAAGACAATCCCCAAAGAGGCACAGGCAGATAGTTAGTGATGTGCGTTGTCCCCCACATACTCGTCTTCTGGTTTATGGTCCTTGAAAACGAGCAGAGACAATATCACTTCCTCTCTCAATTACCAAAATTGTCTCTTTATTTGTAATAGGGGTATCTATGTATGTCTTGGGTTTTTATGCTATTGTTCACTCGAGGCTCATTTGGCACATTGTGGGGAACTGATAAAAAATTCATCATAAAACAAAAGCCTCTGAGACGAAAGAGAGGATGTTGTCGGAACAATCCCTTCCTCAGACTGAAGGCCTAATCCAGGGCAAATCCTCCTTAAAGCTTTAGAGAGATCAGAGAATAGGGAAGTAATGTCAAATATTTGTCCTCGGAAATAATTCATACTTTATTTGTTGCATGTGATCGCCTCATTGTTTTGGCTTATTTTATCAGCAAACCAGCTGGCCCTGTAATGTGTGTCATTCTCTGTAAGCTGAGCCAGCCTCTGGCATCTCTACTTCGACTTTTCCATCTCTTTGCTGTCTTTGCTTCTAGCTATTCACCTTTCCTTTCATTCACTCTTATGGATCGCTGGAACACTCCACTGGGAGAGCTGTCCAAATACATTTGTGTTGCCAAAACAGAGCATCACCCATCCTCGCTCCCGCACGCTGTTTTTTTCGGTCCGTGTGTTTGAGCGGGCGGGCTCAGGAGGAGCCGTGGTGAAGTCACTGGAGGTCCAGCAGGACAGCTTGTACTCATAGCCTCTAGGGGCCTTTTTTCTGGGGGCCGCCTAGTCAGCCTGGCTGCTCAGATGTGAGGCGAGCAGGGCATCAGCCCCCAGGAAACGTCCAAGCTGCGACCCACAGGGGAAACAGACGGATGGCACAGACGCATACAGGCGATTCTCACGTGTAATGGCGCCTTTTCTTTTTCTTCCATACAAGCGCACATTTACTGTTTCAAACTCTGTCCGGAAGCAGCGTCTTAAAGGCTGTAGCGCAGGAAAGTTGTCAAGACTGTGCCCTGACTCCCCGAGGCAGCCCGCAAAGACAGGAGAGGGAGAGACAGTACATTAGGAATGAATTATGTGGAGAGAGCACTTATCCAACAATCCTCCTCTGAAGTGTTTGTACTATAAGCCTCAGATCTTCATTGTATTTATTCTAATGTTTAAATATTCATGGTAAACCTTCTCATATTCAATTACCGAAGCACGACCACAGCATGCAGAGAGTGCTTTCTCCCTGCTGCCTGGATGATCTGACTGTGTGTGTGTGTGTGTGTGTGTGTGTGTGTGTGTGTGTGTGTGTGTGT